AGTAGGACCACATTAAACTAAAAAGCTGTACAGCAAAAGAATCAATCAAAATTGAAGAGAAGATCCACAGAATGGTAAAAACTCTTCACCAGTGACACATCTGAGGTTTAACATCCAGAATATATAAAAAATGCAAAAACCAAAGAATCGAGAAGCCAAATGACCCAATTAAAAGATGGGCTAAAGGGCTAAACTGAGAGTTCTCAAAGGAAGAAATAAAGATGGCTAAGAAACATGTCAAAAATGTTCAACATTGTTATTAATTAGGGAAATGCAAATTAAAACCACCACAAGGTATCACCTTCCCCCAGTCAGACTGGCTAGGATCAAGAGAACGAATGATACCAAATGCTCAAGAAGATTTGGAGAAAGCAGAACGCTCATTCACTGCTGGTGGGATTGCAAACTCGTGCAGCCTCTGTGGAAAACAGTGTGGAGAACTCTTAAAAAACTAAAAATGTACCCACCATATGACCTAGTTATATCACTTCTTGGCATATACGCAAAGGACTCAGCCTATGGTGGAGACACTTGTTCGGTTCATGATTGGCCGGAATCAGCCTGGAGAACAGAGAGAAGTGGTACAGCTAATTCAGCAGACCTCAAAGCAGGAACAACAGCAGCAGGAGAAGGTGGAGCAGTGGTATGCCCCAGTATGGGGAGGATGATTAGGAAACAGGAGAGTACGCCAATGATGAGGATGAAGAACCGAGCCCCGAGTTCCCAGGGGGTGAAATGGCCATTGAGTTGTTTGAGCTAGCAGAGAAGGAGGATGCCCTGTCCGTTGTGGAGATGGAGCTGGAAAAGCTGGTGTACAGATTCAAGGAGATCTACATCAAGCATGCTGTGACTGAGGCTGAGATCCAGCAGCTGAAGCAGAAGCTGCAGAGCGTGGAGCAGGAGAAGGGGCGCTGGCAGATGGAGAGGGCCCAGCTGGAACAGTGTGGAGGAGAACAAGGAGCTCATGGAAAAGCTGGAGGCCTACCTGGGTAAGGCCCACAGCCTGCGCCAGGCTGTGATGAGCACTTTCGGGAGACTCAGACTCAGTACCAGGCCCTGGAATGCAAGTACAGCAAGGCCAGGTGTCACATCAAGGACTATCAGCAGAAGGAGATTGAGTTCCTGAAACAGGAGACTGGTCAGGGAAGGGTTCTGGAGGAGTCAGAACTGGCTAAGAAGGAAGAAATGCACAAGTTCCTGGACAAGATCTCAGAACTGGAAGGAAACCTGCAAACACTGTTGAATTCCAATTTTACAAAACAGGAATCACTCCTTGACCAGACAATAATAATCCATTCCCGTTATCCTCACCTGCCTGTCCTCAATACACCACCCTACCCCTATCAGCCTTGCGACAGGTGCCCTGAATCTCTCCACTCCTCCATCGCACCTCCCCCAGCTTCGGGAACCAAAAGGCCCACATCACAGGCCTCTTTAAGGTGGCACTTGCAGACCCTGGTGGCAGGAAAGGTGGCCTCCTTTCTCCATGGGGCTATGGCATAGAGGCCCATGGAAGCCTAGAACTGGCCTGTCTGTGGATGAACACAAGGACCTACAGACAAAACTGCCAGAGTTTACAACCTCCAGCCTCTGTCTCTGGACCAGAATGGAGCTGGGGCTCTCCCAGCATCTCATCACCTGGAAGCTGCACCTTGCCTGTGGGGCTCCACCAGCCCATGGGCCTCTTGACTTGAGAGGTTACCTTCTTGGTCCTTTCCCACTGCCTATCATTGTCCTGTCTATTTCATTATGACCTGCTGCTTGGAAGGGTTGCCTCAACAACCTGCTCCAAATTCCTGCTCCGAATCCCAGGAGGGATTCAGCTCACCTTGAGCCAGAGGCTGGCCCTGCATTGACTTCTCATGTACCTGTCAGGGGGGAAAGAAGAGTGGGAATAGGAAAAAGGGAAAGCCCAGAATGCGGAGGCCTGAGGCCAGGGGCAGTCAGGATGGCGCCTAGAGGAAATGGCCGGAACATGGCCAGACTTGTTTTGATGAATCGCTGATTGGCTCCTGTCATTTCCGTGCATCCTGGCACCCCATGATCACCCCTCGAACACAATGCTGTGCTATGGAGAGGAGACTGCATGCTCAAGTTCACCTTTAAAATGATTGGACACTTGGTTGGGGAGGGGATTTTCCTTTGTGGTTTTTGCCTTTATAAGCTCTCTAAACACCTGCAGTAAACGAGTTCCTGCTTGACTGGCTACCTGTCATGTCTGATTGTCTCCCAGGGAGGCTGAGGCTAAGGGGCGGAAAGCACACCTCCCTTTCCCCGGCTCCTGTGTTGGGGCAGGATCCCCGACACCAGAACACTTGGTGGCCAGCTTCCCCTTCCTAAAAAGGGCAACAGCCCTCATCTCCTCCTTGTGCTTCCCCTCTCCCAGGTGCCAAATAGCCATAGACTCCTCCTGGAACTGTCCTGCATCCACTCTGGGGTTCAGGTTTCCTTGGCTAAGCATAGGAATGCCAGGAGGGAGGGTGTTCAGCATAGATGGTATACCTGCAGAGCTCTCACTTGAGAGCTAGAACTTACCAGGGCCACACCTGGAAGTCTTGTACTAACAGAGACATCCTCCCCTCCTCCACCCCCACCCCCCCACTATTTTCCACGGTTTCCACTGGAGGGCAAGTTTTATTACTCATCTTTTTGGATACCAGGGCTGCATGCATACAAACTGCTTTCTAAGTGAAATTGACTCTGTTTACCCTTGTTAACCCCAAATTGGGGCTTGGACCAAGAGAGATGAGACCCCCCCCATTGGGTACCCTCCCCTTTCAAAATCCATCACATTTTGCCATTTCTTTGTGCCCAGTCCCAAGTCTGGGTTTCTGTTCATTTTTTTTAAAAAAACAAACCTGTTCCATCTGTGTTGGCTTCTCCTAGTCGCCTGTAAATAGACCATACACATCGATCAGTATTTCTTGTCCTTCCCTTGTGCTTTGTGCTCCCCACCACCACCCTGTAGCCGTGCCCAGATTCCAGAAAGAGCTAGCTGTCACAGTGTGGGATCCCTGCTCTTGACCCCCAGCATTTAGAGGGGGACAGAGCTGAATGGGCAGGGCCTCGATATGCCTCCAGTCTCTGCTGGCAGCATCTCTGTCCCGCGCTTGTGTGTGTGTGTGTGTGTGTGTGTGTGTGTGTATTTATAAGTATATATAACTATGTACATATATAACTATATATAACTATAACTATATATATAA